AAAAACTTACAAAGTGTTTATTTCTGGAATTTTCCATTTAATATTTTTGGACTTCAACTGATGGAGAGTAACTGAAACTGTTGGGAGCTAGACAAACAAGAGGAGCAGAACAAGTTTATTTTCCAGAAGTGTCCAATGGCACTTAAAGAGGAGGAAACCCTTACCACACAATCTTGATGACAGGTGCATGTAGCCCTTCTCTTAGCTCTGTTGACTGATAAAGCACCCTGATGATGATCAGTCTAATGGAAACCAGTGAATTATTTGCATTGAATCAGGTTTTCTCTGTCCACCCCTGTTGCCAGCCCCTCATAAAGAAAAGTAACTCTTGGCTACTTCTCAACACCTTTAAATGGTAATTTTCTGGGGGTGCACCCTTGGGAAACTAAAAGTGAATAAAGTAACTTACTCCTCTAACTGATGACTTCCTCAAAATAAGGAATCTGCAACCAGGAGAATGTCTTAGTTAGTTGATTACCTTTCATAATCATTTATACTATCGCTTATATCTTTCTTTATTCAGAAAAGAATTAGATGCAATAGAGTAGATCCCCAGCAGGCAGAAAGTCAAAGCTTTTTCTACTTTTCAGTTTCTTGATTTGAGTGCTGGTTTCTCCAGTGTCCATTGGAGGCTGAAAGATTTTAGATCTATGGCTGTGGAACCTTTTGATTCCAGGACAGTTCAAGAATCCTTGGATTGTGGAAGGCCATGGGTGACAGCCATCCATGGGTCCTGCTATAGACTAAACTGTATCCCTCCGAATTCTTATACCGAAGCCTTCACTTCCAATGTGATTGTATCTGGAAAGAAGGCTTTTAAGAGCCAATTAAGGTTAAATGAGGCCTTAAGTGCGGGGTCAGGATCGGTGGCTTTATGAGAGGAAGAGATTTTTCTCTCCCTTCACACACAGTGAGCAAAGGCCATGTGAATGCAGTGAGAAGGTGGCTGTCCACAGTCCAGGAAGAGTGTGCTCCCCAGGAGTCTGATGGGCTAGTACCCTGATTTTGGAGTTCCAGATTCCAGAACTGTGAGGGGGGGAAAAAATGTCTCTTGTTTAAGCCCACTCTGTCTGTGGTATTATATATTGACAGCCTGAGCAGATCAAGACAGGTTCTTCCATTGTCCCCTCAGAATGCTCTCACCACCTAGGAAGCAGGGCAAGCATGAAAGTGAAGGCGGAGGGGAAAGAGGGAAGAGGAAGGTGTGGGAAGGACTCATGAGGGTGCTGACTCAGGGAGGTCAGGGAAGATGCAGCCACACTCTGGCTCAGAAAGCAGATGTATGATCATAATGCTCAGCTTTCATGCACCTGGGACTCTAGACCATACACATGAAGTGTCCCATACACATTTGTGACAAGATGGCATTGCCGTGAAGATAGCATGGGGTAGCAGAGCTGGACTGCATTGTCTGAGTTCTAATCTTGACCTTGAAGAAAATACCTAGCTCCTTCTTTGTAAAATAGTAAACTTGATGGTACTTAAATTACCGAGTTCATTTGTGATGGGGTATGAACCATTTAGGACAATGCCTGGCACATAACCTGTGCAATTTTAGTGTTAACTCTTACTTTGATAGGGGGGTTTGTCATGGAATGACCCCATTTTCATTTTTCATTGAAATGCCTTTTAAAAGTTTGTTGTATAATAGAAGCTCACCATCAGTGCTTCAGTGTTCATGGAAGATAGGCCCTAATATCTCTCTTCAAAAGAATATATATATATATATATATATATATATATATATATATATATACAATATATCTGAAGAAAAAATAATCCCAAAGAATTAATTGGCTCTGCCAAGCTTGCAGATTTAGGGTTCATTAGAATTTGTTACTGTGTTCCCAGGGGGGCAGAGATTAAGAGCTTTAGAATTCACTGTGAATATTTTTTATTTTTTATAATATATTTTATTTATTTTTTTACAGAGAGGAAGAGAGAGAGAAACATTAATCAGCTGCCTCCTGTACACTCCCTACTGGGGATATTCCCACAATCAAGGTACATGTCCTAGACCAGAATCAAACCTGGAACCCTTGACTCCACAGGCGGACGCTATATCCACTGAGCCAAACGGGTTAGGGCTGTGAATACTTTTTAAAAGATCTTTTACTAGTAGACTCCCACTAAATATGTATTTTCAATATTAGATATATAATGAGTTTTCTATATTCGCCCAAAGTACTATATAAATACTACCATATTTTATAATTTCTTGAGAGTTAATTTTATTTTATAATTTTTATTTCATTTATTTCAAACTATACTTCATTTTCAGTTTTCCAATTTGTTCAACAATTGAAGATTTCACATAAAATACAAAGCTATAGCAATGCAGCAACATTTTATAACAAACAGATTGGGGGGGGGGGGCGCTCATGTTCAGCTCGGAAGGAATCTTTTTCCCTACTAACTCTGACCAGCCATAAAAATCTAGGTTTATTGTACAAACACAATATTGACTGGTCACTATATCTCACATTGCTCTTCCATAATCACCATGTGAGCCATTAGGATGCATTTGGGAATTCCACTTTGCACCACTTCATTATAGCAATATAAATGAGGTATGATATGTGGCTTTTGCAGTGGTGTTCCCCACTACCTATTGGAATGTTCCCACCAGCCCTGCATCTGTGACTGTTACCATGTCCATGGATATTCCATGGAGGTGTCCATCATGGAGATGTCCACAGAGATCCCACCCAGACATGATGCATTGTGTTGTTTGTGGCCATCTTCTTCTATTAGATATAAACTCCCTGGAGCTGCCAAAACCGGTTTGGCTCAGTGGATAGAGCGTCGGTCTGTGGATTAAAGGTCCCAGGTTCGATTCAGGTCAAAGGCATGTGTCTTGGTTGCGGCACATCCCGAGTCAGGGGGTGTGCAGGAGGCAGTGGATCGATGTTTCTCTCTCATCGATGTTTCTAACTTTCTATCACTCTCCCTTCCTCTCTGTGAAAAATCAATAAAATATTTTAAAAAATAATAATAAATAAATAAATAAACTCTTTGAAGCAGAGATACTGTCTTATGCACCAAGCCTAGAATAGTGCCAGCACATAGTAGGTACTCTAAAAAAAAATCACATGGTCAATGGAAGAATGACAAAAATAAAAACAGGTATTTAGAACAGAATGCTAATGTCAAAATAATCCATCAAAAAGAGGACATGCAGCTTTGAGTTTTGAGAGTCTTTGAGGATAAGGTGATTTTAAAAAAAATATATTCCTCCAATAAAACAAAGAATTTCCTGGGTTATTTCTAAATTTGACTAAAGGCACATTCCATATAAGACCAGAATCTTCTAAGCAACTATTTCTGGAGAAGATTAATGGAAGTGAGAGAGATACAATTAAAGTCTTAACTCAGAATGTGAAAATCACCTTTAAGTATTTAAAGAGACATTAATCATGACTATTAATCAATAGAAAGGAATGTTCACAGAATGCTTAGAATAAATGTTTGCTGAAGCAAAAAGTCAGAGGGAAAAAGGAAGGGATGCATGCCTAGGGCTAAAGACAGATTTTTTTTCTTTTGGGATTAACAAATTAAAGCTGTTGGAAAGGAACAGTTCACCAGAGGGAAACGTTAGTGTACAGCCTATGAAATACCACCGTGGTCAGCAGAACTTCAACAGTTTGTGTATCCCTCACTCCCACCAACCACCACCACCCCTCCCCCGACTGCTCCATGCCAGTCACTGTTGAGAAACATTTCTTGCAAGTCTGACTTATATATTATGCCGAGAAGTTACTCAATGCCAAGAATTAGGAAAGTCCTTTTATTTCCTTTATTGCTTGCTGACAAGAATAAGTTCCAAACATTTTTGGTAATTCTCTGCTTTTAAAATTTTTTTATGAGGCTGCCCAATGTCATTGCTCATTGCTCTTTAATTCACTCACTCATGCTGGAACCTCAGGTTTCCCCGTTCATTTGTACTTCTGAGAATTCTTTCCAAGCAACTATACCTCAAAGATTTCTAAAGCCATTAAAAAAAAAAAAAAAAAAAAAAAAAAGCTACGCAATGCTGTTTTCATATACAGTGACTTAACTGTGCAGAAAACAAAGCTGAGTTTTAAAGTCTCTCTTTGAGTATCTTCAGACATTTATGTAAAACTTATATGTAAGAGTTTTGTTTAATTTTTATTGTTGAAAGTATTACTTAGGTTCCCCTTTTCCCCATTAAACTCTTCCAGCCTTTTCCTGTCCCTCCAGCCCCAACTCCACCCCAGGCCCTTACCACCCCCTTCTGTGTCCAGAGTTTATGCATATATGCATACAAGTTCATTGGTTGATCTCTTCCTTCCCAACAGCCTCTGCATGTGTAAGTTTTAGCTAAATGTAGAACCAACTAACTAGGCTTAGAGGAACCTAAGCTTGCATTGGTCCTAAGCTAACCCCCACTCTTCCTTTACATCTTCCACACCCCGAGGGAGCTTATATTGTGTTGTCCCTTATTGAGATGCTGTAACTCTAAGCAAGGTCATTTTTGTTTTGTTTTGCTTCCTTTCCCCTAATGGATGCAATAGCTGGGTCCTGGGTCATCTGTTCCATTGACCTCTGTGAACAAGAAGAGCTGCAGGGTGGGCGGCTGAGTTAGGCACTGAGGCTAGGGTCTCTGAGGGCAGGGATGCAGACTAGCCTCCTCTCAGAAGTAAATCTATGACTCGGAGACTGCACGACTGCATCATTACTGCTGTTCAAGGAAGTCCCACCTTTTCTACAAGTTAATTCCAGGTGGTATCGTGGCCCTTTATGTCTAAGATCCAATCACTTAGCCCAATTATGCTCCATTTTCATTTTTGTGATTTGAAATCATCATGAAAACTCTTTATAGATGCAGATTTATCTTTCCCCAAGAAACTGCTACTACTGCCCAGAATGAAAGCATTCCAAAGCCTACTAGGTTTGGAAACATGAGCCAGATTCTGTAATCATCTCTGTCAAAATTACAACAGCTAAATCAGGAAGTAGACAATAAAAGGCAGATCACATTTAGACGAAGACATGGTTACTTTTTTATTTGAAGGGGGGAAAAATATGTTTTAATAAATACTGCAGAAACATTGACCAAACAAACATACAAATTGACTTCAACATTTTAAAAAATGCAACGAAAGTTCTGCTTTTTAACAGTTATAACTTATTTTCTTTTTACAATATTTAAATACAGAAAGCACTTGCCAGCTATTTTGTAATACTGCCCAAAGCATAATGCTGCCTCAGTCAAAGCATATTATGTTGGTAGAAACGTCTATATTTTGTGGGAAATGACTGGAATGGTATTTCCTTGCAGAGACAAAACAAAGTGCTTGTAAAACATTGAACTAAGTTTGTAATCACCTTAATCTCCTCTCCTGCCACTATTTAATGGGAGCGAGAGCTTCAACACTTCAAAAATGAAGCTTTATCATTGGAAAGAAAGCTCGTTTTCAACAAGCGCCAACAGGTCAGATCGGGTTTATACTCTGAAAGAAGCTCTAAAAGAAACTGATCAAAAATATCTGTAAACTATTGTAACTGCTGATTATTTTAGCTAACAACAGAGATCAAGTACTGAACAGGGGCCTTGGCAGAATCTGGCTAAGTGAGGTTTAGCAATCACTCTAGAAATGGCTAGCATAGTGTCAGGACGGACCGTACATAATTTTCCACTAAGGCTACGCTAAAGCTTGGACAAGAAGGTCCTTCTCTGATCGTGCTCATTTAAAGAAAGCGAGCTAAACCAACCGATCATCAGATGCTGCCAGCTTCAGAGCTTCATCCCCCAAATAAGAGGCCGCTTTCGCTTTGTACTTTTGGTAACAATTCCAGACAGCTTTACTCACAAACTGTGCTTTCTGCTACTATTCCTTCATTATTTCTTCAGGTGAAAATAGTACCTACATTCCCCCCCCCCTCAGATCATTCATCCTATGATGTCAAACCAAAACACCTTTTATTTGACTTTGCATTTTCATTAACCATGACAAAAAAATATCAAAAATTAAAAAAAAAGTCACACTCCCTCTCTTCTAAACAGCGCACAAAAATATTACCTTGAGCAATTTACCACTTTTTAATGACAATCACAATGATGAACAGAACCATCAGACTGAATAAAAATCGACACTTATTTCTACTTGGATCATCTGCATATCTTGCAAGACTGCAAAAGCCCTTCTTTAGAGCCCTCTCTCTCAGCTACTGTCAGGAAGGCAAGATTTCAAAGCCTCGCCAACTTTTCCTCTGGATATCCCAAGGGTCCTGATACAATTTCCATTTTAATGATGAGCTAGAAGGAAATTAGATCTCATCCTCTAGAAAACTAAACGCTAAGGTCACAGTGCCAGTTCCCCAGTGAGGACGGTATATTAATATATACTTTTTTTGTAAGGAGATTGAAACATTTAAATCAAAGTAGAGATCTATGACTAGATTATAACAAAGAAAACAATAATGCAAGCACCATTCCGAGCGGGATTTTTCTTCCTGGAGGTACTCGCACTCCTCCTCATCTAACCTCTAGCCCATCTGAATCTCTCTCTTTTTGGCATATTTCTCAAGTCACACTTCAGAACTCTCCAATGTATTCACTTCTCACCGCTTGTTCTACATGCCGAACCTAAGGACAGGATCCCAAAAAGATGAGCATCCTCTCAAATGCCTCCTAAGCCTCCGGAATATGTGACTTTCGGCTGTGCACTTCATTCAGACTTCACCTTTTTGTTTTGTTGTTAGTGTGATTTTGTTTTTTTTTTACACCAAAGTTCCTTGTCCTCATCAAAGGTAACGGGGGATTCACATCACAGTGCAACTCTTCGCTTTGTCCTTTCGTAAGTCCGTAGCCACAGCTGAGAGCTCTGGTCTGCTGGGCATGTGTGAAATCCGCTTTGTGGCCCTCTGTGATTTGTTCCGCTTAACGTTTTTATTTGTTTTGTTTACACACGCCAAGGTGGCAACGTGAAAAATGTCTCTGACACTGTTTTCTGACTGTAATGCCGAGCATTCGATGTAAGTGGCTGCTCCAATCTGCTTAGCCATATTTGCCCCCTGAGGAGTAAAAGAAGGGACTGTAGTTAGCAATAAGTCTTTGGGGAAAGTTATAAAGTGTCTTCTAAATAATAATGCATGGCAAAACATTTCTAATGTTAACAGAATTTTCCAAGTGTTGCTGAAAAAACAAACAAAAAACAAACCCAGTTTTTAAATTTGTACTGCCTTCTTTAGCATTTCATTAATATTTGCAGTCAAGAACCTGTCAGTCCTAAGGTTCTCAATGTTCATCACATCCCAGAAGTGCTAATGGCTGTCACTGGGTCATCACCAAATGAGGCCCAGGATATCAGTTAGTCTGATTCAAAGAAGTAGGAGAGAAGCTAAGGAGGGGATACATCTTCACTATCAACTGTAACTCAGAGTAACTATTGTAGATACTCTTGTCTTCCAGGTCATAGCAGAGTATAGAATTACTCAGAGGATTCTACTATGGGAAAAAAGGCAGCTGAAGATCATGAATGTAAATGATGCATTTTTCACCTGCTTCTAGCAGGGGGGATTCAGCCCCTAGCTTGTTCCAGCACCTCATGGGGCACTCAAGTTTTCTTGAGTGTAAATAACAATCAAGATTAGTCAAAAGGCTATACCAAAAAAGCAGAGATAAAGAATAAATTTTGAGATGTATGGAATTAAGTTTAGGGCCAAAATATATTGATGAAAGAAATGATACTGTTATGCCATCTATAACTTTAGTAAACACAAAATATGTAATTTCTAAACATGGGCCACACAACCCAGTGTGCAGAACAAAAACGGTTTACTAAATAACAAAACTTTTGTTAATTAGAAATGCAAGACAAAGACTACAGCATTTAACATAATTATATATATATATATATATATATATATATATATATATATATATATATATATTTCAACATGAACTCTCTTTAGAATCTGTAACTTTTGAGAGACTAAATTTCTAAAACCAATTATTCTCTTTTCAAAATACTTAGAAAAAACATCTGAATAAGTGATGAATCTCTAAAAGACAGTTTGATGGAGTGTTCTACTTTACTGGCAAAGGCTTTGTCTTTTTGTAGTATTTTATTGTGCTGCTGAGTGTAAAATAAGATGAATTATCTTAAAGAATAGCACCGATGTTGACCACCTTCTCTCTTAAATTCAGGGGGAGCTACAGAAATATACAAGGTAGCATATGACCCACTGTTTATATAATCTGTAATCAAAGATGTGGTTGCCCTACAAATTGCCAGAACATTCATATTTTAAAAGACTTTTTCCCAAACTCGTCTTATTACACATATACACATACGAATCCTTTATACAATAAACCACTGAAAACATTTTGGAAAGCTTTCTGGGAGGGTTCAGCCAAGCTTTGTCCCTGATCACTTTGGTGCTCACTCTGTAGTCTTGACACGAATCTGAGCTTCCTGTGAAGGCACAACCCTTCACCTGTGTTGACTGATGGTCCCAATCTAGACATACAGTGCTCATTCTGCATCTTAGAAAAGGGTCTTGCACTTAGACTTGACCACTGGTTGAGACTTAAGAAAAGTGGCTACTTTTAATTTTATTTATTACTAGAGGCCTATCGCAGGAAGATTTCTGCAACAGGGCTTCCTGCTGGGGTCTCTGCTGCCCTGCCTGCCTCCCTCTTTTCTCCCCCATACTGCTTGCTTGCTTCTCTGCAGCTTAGCTCCCTTCTGCAGAGCTTAGCTTCTTTCTACACTGTCTTCAGTCTTCACTCTGGCCTGGATATGCAAATTAACTGCCATCTTGGTTGGGTTCATTTGCATATTCACCCCGATTGGCTGGTGGGTGTGGCTTGTGAGCATAGCAAAGGTATGGTCAATTTGCATGTTTCTCTTTTATTAGGTAAGATGAGTGATGTTCCATTTTTGTTCTTTTTAAGATCTACAGTGGTACACTGACAACATATACATACCTGGTCATAGGACACTGGTGTCTGTCGATGGTTGGAGAGCTCCACTAACGTGCTGACATCGGTCCGAAGATCAGATTTGCAGCCAACCATGAGCATTTTGGTATTGGGACAAAACTCCTGGATTTCACCTTTCCACTGTTGAGGGAAAAGACGAAACATTAGCCTAGCACTGACACCCACAGAATAGAAACCATTTCTCCACTGGCAGACATTAGAAATGGGACTCATAAAGGACATTTAAAAGGAACTGTCACTTCAGATGAAGAAGCAAACTGGCACTTATCTCCTAAGTAATATTAAGTTTTACTATATCTTCAAGTGGATCCATTGGGGAAGACTTATGTATATTATTATTTATTCTCTGTTTTTGTGACTCAGTATCTGTCCCTACTGCAAGAGACTTGTTGGGTGTTGTCAGAAGGTAGCTTCTCAGAAGGTAGCTTCAGTAATATGTTAATTACTGGGTTATCTCTGAGAGATAAAAGTGCCTTAAGCATAATTATATACTGTAACAAATGATTACATCCTTGGATGTGTTCAGCTGACACTTCCCACCATGGATGGCTGGGAATTAAGACCGAGCCAACATAAGCACAGGTATGCATTCACTGATCCCATCAAGAAGGATGGAGCAGCTACCATGTGATGAAATCTGTACTGAGATTTCAAGAACTGGAGATAAAGTTAATAAACAGAACCATCTGCCTTTAAGGGAGTTTCCATTCTAGTGGCCAAAGCAACTAAGACCTTTGCATTGGGCTCTCAGAAAGGCATCTGGTTCTGTGGCTCATAGGCCCTGGAGTCAGTTTTAAGTCATATATTGATAGTTGCTAAATATTTCAATTTAGTGCAATGTTGTTGTTTTGTGACCTAACAGGAATTCTTAGAATCTACAGAAATGTCTGCCAGGGGATTCTCCTTTTTTAAATTGTCCCTTTAAAGAGCAAATGGAGATCTTTTTGTGGTTTCACTTCCTCAAGCTTGAGAAATCAGGATGGGAGTCAGGAGTTCAGAGTGTTCACAGGAAAGTTCTGGCTCTTGGGGAAGAGGGATTAGAGGGGCTGAGATCAAGAATCCACGCCTCCAGATCCTCCCACAGGCACATATATGTATTTAAATGCTTTACTACAATACATATTGTGGTGGTTACAAAGGCGATTAAGACATAATTGCCTGAAAAAAGGAATTCACAGAAGAGTGGCTGATGACATCAAGAATATGATCCTGGACAAGAGGGACATTCTGCAGGAGTAGTTTAGAAGACCATCAGAGGAGACATTTCCAGAGCTAGAGGTGTGCTGTGGGCAAAGAACTCTACTGCCAAGTATACCAGTGGATTGGAGGGAGCAATATACTTTCCACAAGAGCCCAATGTATCCACAAATTCCTCCCTCTCTTTTCCCCCACCCTTCATTCCTCCTTTCCCTCCCAGAATTATTTAGGAACATCTACCATGTGTTGAATGGCATTGGAGTTAAGAATTGGAAGGTGAATAAAAAAAAAAGAAAGAAAATAAAAAAAGAATACAATCTATCATTGTGCTTTAAGCCACTTTAACCTCTTTGATATTCAAGGACTTAAAGGATTCAATTAATCAAGACAAACCATAACAGGGGTTATCAGGAGCCTCAAACCTCACAGGAATGTAAAACACACTCATTAATATATTTAAGGCCAATGTCACTATACATTTTGTCTCAGAGGACAAAAGCAAAATAAAACAGGAGCACGGCTTTTCATTATAAATTATGCATAACCCGATGCTACATCAAGTAAAAACTGCAATAAATAAGCAATCTCTTTTACCTACAGACAAGCATTAGGCATGCTGCTACGTAGCTCTTCAGCTGTGTAATGACTTAGGCCTCCCTCTGCATGTCTAACAACTATTTACAAGCAGTGAAGACAGGAAAGGTGTATTCATGCCTAAGTCTGACAAACATTAGCATTATTTGTGATACAGAGGAGCTAAGAAGCACATTTCATTGAGATAACTGTGCTTGCCGTGTTTAGTAAAGAGATGAGTGATGATTCACCTTCAAACCCTAATTTTGTGTGACACAAAAGATAAACAGTCAAACATGATAAAGAAGTGTAAGTTAATAAAAACACACAAAATGTTATAATGGCATTGCCTTGGTCTCAACCACATCCTCTGTGTAAGCCTTAGTGCATGGAGAAAAGATGGCACTCCACAGAAGGGTCTGATTCTGAAACCCCACAGCACTCAGGGCCAGGACTGAGATCACAGGATGATCCTCAGTGAAGCATATGCCTTCAGTAACTGCCCAGAGACTGAGCCCAGGACTGGTGGAGGCCAAGGACAGCTCCTCCCTCCCACGGGCCTTCTCACCTGCAACAGGTCCCCTTCCTCTTGACCTCCCCCTGGTTCTGTCCAGAGCTTCCTTGGGTCCTTTTACCTCCAGGAACCAGGTATGTTATCATCTAGAACATGTTTACAACTACTGTTCTTATTAATATCTGACATCTCCCTAATGACAGTCACCTTGTCTAGTGTCTGGAAACATGCCCATGTTCCTCCTATATTAGTTCTACTTCTGTTTCTAATAAATAACACCATTACTGAAACACAGCCTCTCTCTTCAAATAGCTACTATTGCATTCTTTTCACGATCTGAGTTGGGGTGGAACATAAACTTATAAACTAAGACACAATCTATAGGGTAAAGGAAGGAAGGAAAGAAGGAAGGCATGCTTGACAGTAATCAAATATAATTTCTGCCCAGAGAATAAACCCAAAGGCTTGTAAAAGGGTATTTTGTTTCTTAAATGTAATACAATTTTAAGCAGGCTCATCATTAAAACTGGCAATACATATGGAAACCCTGATATAGTGTAAAAGTGTCCTTTTTATTGTTCTAACTCTAAAATACACAGCCGAGTATTAACTAGAGTGTTGGGGCTCCCCAGTCCAATTCATGTTCCTATGTTATATATGGGCTGGTACTGAACTGTGTCATCATTACCCAGCACTTGCCTTTTTTAGGACACTGTCCAGGGTCTCTGGTCTACTGATGTCAAAGCAAATCAGCACAGCATCCGAATCTGGGTAAGAGAGGGGCCGGACGTTGTCATAATAAGGAGAACCTGGAAGAGACAAAGACACACAAGTTTTTAGATGAAAATCACTTGTCTGTCATGCATTAATCCTGCTCTTTTGAATTAAATCCTTTGACTATCACATGGGGGTGGAGGTCCCACTTCCACCTCCTCTAATTCTTGGTAAATAATGCAAAAACAAAACAAAACACACAAACAAAGGCTGAGTAGTAATATATGAATCTATGAATCGCTGCCAGAAGAGGAATGAAGCCTCCTTGTATCTGCTGGGACTCCAAAGGGAAGAGCTGGGATCTAACATCTGCGTGTTTCAGAGGAAAGACTAGGGCATCAGGGGAAACACAGAGGCTGTTGTTGCCAATGGGTCAGAATGCAAACCCACCGCCACCACTGACGGAGGAGGGACAGGGTTGCTTTAGGATTCTGTGTCAGAGTCTTCATTCATAAATGAAGATGATGTTGCCTACCTGGGATTAAATAGACCCTGGCAGGGTGCTGCTATAGTAAGAGCTCAGTAAGTATTAACTATGGTTATGCTTGTGTCGGTGCTATTAAAAGCTGAGTGAGAGCCAGCACCATAAATAGAGGTACTTCTTGGGAAAGAGACCAAAACTCAAAGTCACTCTGGCAATCTGATAAGGGCAAGTTGGGGAGGGAGGAAAAAGTGGGTTCAGCTCTGCAAAGAGACCCACAGTCAGTCAACCAGATGGCATCTGTGCACTCCACCTCAAAGCTACAGGTTTGGATAAGCCATCGACCTTTGAGCTTGCTTACTTAAACTCACCCCCAAACTCTACACAGCTTCTCTTCCTGTTACAACAAAGCATGCAATAAATGCCATATTGCATCACCTCACTTCTTTACACAGTTCCATCGCTGAGAGTGACACGAAGGCATGAGCCAAGGGTCTTGGCCTGAGTTAGATCCAGGGCACCCGAAAGGTTTAAGTTTCCAGCCAATTAATTTCACCACAGCACCCTCTAGCCATTTAGGAAATGTCTCCCTTTCCTTTAGGAATCCCAAAGGATGGCAATTACATGAGGCCAATTATTATAAAATAATGTGACCATAAAGTCAAATGCAGCTTGTCAATACTTTTTATTTTTTTTAAAATCATTTTCAGTATACTGACATTTCACAGTCATAATATGAAAATCATTTTACTAGGGGATGTGTGTGTGAGTGTGTGTGTGCGTGTGTGTGTGTGTGTTTGACTCCAGAGAGTCAAGTCTTCAAATCTAAACCACTGAAGTATTTTTAAAAATCAATTCCATTTTGACATATCCTTCTATTTCTAGCAGAAAAAACATGACATGTTATCTCCTTGTAAATCAAAACCTTGATAGTCAAAGTCAGGAGGAGAGAAAGACTAAAGAAGCTTCTCAAATAATATAGCAAAACAAAATGTGAGTTTATTCTTGAGTTCTAGAAGTTACTGCACTTAGGGTGCACCAGACTCTCTTCACAGTATGGTCTGGTCCCTAGCAGTCACTAAGGAACCCAGAGACACTGTGGCCTTGACACCTAGCTGTTTTACAGGTGGACAATGACAATTCAAGCCAGGTGTGTCCACCAATCAAGGAAGAAGGAAATGTTCTAGGAATCAGGAAGTGTATGAATAAGGACAAACAATCGGAGCCAGAATGTTTCATGAGCTGCACCAGCTCCCTACCCACACCTAGAAGCAGGCTGACAACTGAAAGACACTTCCCAATTGATTAAAGAAATCAGCTTCTTTCAAAATCAAGTCATTTTCAATAATAAGGCATAAAAGAATGAGGACGACTCTGAAAATGATAAGCTGCCGTCCTACCTTTTCAGCCACTTAAAGAAATCTGAGGTTAAGAGAATAACACACATAATTCTCAAATTTAAACATTACTGAGAGGCATCAGGAATTAGGTGACTTATGGCTCTGTGTGGGTATATTTGTTCTGTGAAGTGCTGACTTTCCGAATGGCAACCTTTCTTGTTTGTGTCCAAAGTCTGAACTTTGACAACAGCTGCAGCTGTAAACATTAAGGAATTGCTTTCCAAATACGGAGTCAGAAAGTTCTATATCATAGAGTGGAAATCCAAATACCAGCCAAGAACCCTAGGATTTCCTCGGCTCTTCCAAGTTAGCAGGAAATGAGTGGACCCCAGATCCATAAAACCAGGGTTTTCCAACAGTGAGGATTGTCAGAAACCTAACCAGGCTTTCAAAGATCTCCTTTCTTGGAAACCACTCACTTTCCCAGACTCAATCCAACCTGAACGTGGGCAGAGAAGCACCTGCAGGTGCCTGATTCCTTCAGATATGAGGTGAGAGTGCTCACTGCCAATCTCAGACCCACAACTGCTCTGCACAGCCATGGGGGCCATCTTTTCCAAATACTACAAAATTTAGGAAAGACAGCTGGAGAAGTACACAGGTGTAAAAATAGAGTAATGAAAACTGGGACTACCAAGAAAATAGTTTCATAATTTAACTCACCACATGGCTGCAGAGAATACGTCTCCGGCTGGCCCTTTCTGTACTGGTCTCCCTTCCCCAAGCATTATCAGCCACAAAGAGGATTTAGCTTTCTTTTCTGTCCTCTGCTCTGTCCTGCCTAGAGACTACCACTTACTAGAAACAAGCCATGTGCTTTGTGTGCTAAGTAAGTCAAATAGCTGCAAAATGTGGAAACTGTCCTGACTTAAAAAGAAACAGAGCTGTGACTGGTATCACATTCTTTTGGAGTTTGTTTCTGTTCATATTTTCATTTGGTTTAATGTTTTGAATGAAAATAAGCATGTATGTGAAGGTTCATGAGAAATGAACCCTCTTGCTTTATACAGGTGTAGAGGGGCAATTTAATTTATTGGGATAACATGGGTTAATAGGTTCATACAGTTTTCAACCATACACTTCTATGACACAAAATCTGTATATTGCACTGTGTGCCCACCACCCACGAAGAGGCACTTTTTAAAAGCTTTCACAAGATCAACGGGAGTGTCCAAAGTGGCAATAAAACTGATCCCCATATTTATTAGTTATAAGCATCATTTGCATAACCACTAACTATGAGAGTAATTTGTCATTAAAAATAACAAGACAAGACTATTTAGTCATAATATTTTTGGATCTTTTGGGATAGAAAATCCCAATTCATAGTTTAAAAAGAAAAAAAAAAAGAGAATTAGAAAAAGAATCTACCTGGAAAAAAAAAAAAATCTAACAATTCAGCTAAGCAGAACCTTCAGAAAAAAAAAAGATCCTGTGTAACTTAACAGTGTTTACTCTGCTTGAGCACTTTGGATTCTTCCTCGTTCTCTTCTGTAAAGCCCACGCTACTGCACAAAGGAAAGCAAAGCTGGAGAGTGCACGCTGTAATCACAGGCATGTGTGGTTCAACTCACAGGCCAAGAAAAAGGGAAAAGGAATTCCAGGAATGCCCTGTGAAGTGAGAACCAATATGGGAGGCAGAAGTGACACCAAAGTAAGGGCAGAAAGTAAGCCCATGAAACAGGAACAATGCCTGCCCTCCAGAAAAGTCTTAAAACATTCTGTTAAGCCAAACAGCAACACATTAACTTCTATAAATATATTTTTAAAGATGCAGGTGCAAAGCTTCAAGGGTAACTGTAGAACTAAACACAAAAGTGCTGAACATTTTTTACTATGTAGGAGCGTACTGAACTCTTAACTGCAGTACACAGCAGGTACTAATGTGTGCACCCCGAGAATGTACCTTAGCTAAATGCAGTAAGTCGAGGCATTGAGCTGAGCTTTCTCAACTAAAACTCTTTCTCAGCATGTGAAATAGGCTTCATACATATGGAAATCTCAGCTGCAGCATTTCTTATTATGCCAGACAACACTTGAAACACACAGCACTATTCGAAAGTCCTTTATAATGAACCATAAAGAGAAAATTTCAAGAAAACTCTGCATTGTAAAGAAACAACTACACCACATTTGCACCCACTTCCACCCCCCCCCCTCAAAAAAAAAAAAAACAACTCCTCTTTGCTTGGGTGTAGATTAGAATAAGTGCACATTGTGGTGCTCTGAGTTCCTCAAGTTTGGCAAACATCGGCCACGTTCTAAAAGGCTTTTGAAACATCAGGTCTACCCATCTCTGTCTTCAAGACCATTAACGCTGCGTGAGAGCAGCAATTCCAGGCCAAGAAGAGTCACAGAGTGCCTCACCCAGAAACTAATTTTGCAGACATACCTGCCTGTTTACGTCATCCTTTCACAAAGATAGAACATACCATATATGTACATTATGAAATGTATATGTGAGAAGATTCATGCCCAAAGGGAGGCTTTATGGAAACTCTTGCAAAACCAGTTCAAATGTGAGTCTCTATAGGAGTCTCTAGTTGAATATTTCCTAACTATAATTCCTTTTGCTTGAACCTTAAAAACTTTCCATTCCCCCTTAAGAAATTCCTAACAAGAACAATAAAATTAGGAATACTGCATTTTTTTTATTTTTTTTATTTATTTTTTTTACCAAGAAAATAGATTAACTTTTGGCATTTTTGAGTGGTCACCAACAGAATATCTGTGCCAACAGCAGCAAACACAGGATCTGCCCAGCTATCAGCGGATTCCATTTCTTCATGCCAGCTAGAGAGTGAAAGCTCCAAATTAGCAACAATCTCAACTTGTGAATCAAGTCTGAGCAAGACTTCTGTCTGCAGTGTAGGACTCTGAACGCTTTTCCCAAGTAGTGTGCCCCACAAATGCCATGGCTGCAAGTAAGCAAGGAACTTTCCCAGAAAGAGTATTTTGTTTCTTTTACAGGTTCAGATTCACTGGAATTATGAACAGATTTTATGAAAACGTGGACGGGGATACTTCTGTGTTGCTATAAAGATAGAATCAATATTTTTGATTTCTTGGGGCAATGCAGATGCATAGTTGGAAAGTCAATGAGGTAGAAATAAGGTCAGTATTTGGGGGCTGTAAATAAAGTGGTTGCCCTAAACTCCTAGTCTCACTCAGACTTAGAATCCAAAAGTCACAGAGCTTTAGGGATAAGTGTAGA